CGAGCTAACTGCGCTAACACACTAGTCTCCCACCCATGTAATTGAGCATTGCATGGCACATCCAACATACTGTTTTACTTTAGTCCATGACTCGCTTACCTTCAGGGTCATACGTCACATGAAAACCAAAATAATTCCAAACGCCAGATCTGAATGAGGTGGGGGAGGTCCATGTTGCAAGGAGAGCTTAACTTCTGTCTTGCTAGCTTGCCCTGCGCTCTTCCTTCTGACTATGCTGTCTGTGTTGAGCGCTCAGTGGATCTGCGCTCGACAGTGCAGCCTAGGCGGAGTAGTCGAACGCAGATTCACTGAGCGCTCAACACAGACAGCATCGTCAGAAGGAAAGTTGATAAAATAAATTACAAATTTGTATTGTTCGATACATATGCGTACCGAACCGAAAGCACTGTATCGAACGGTTCAATATCGATACAATATCGTTGCACCCCTAGTTAATACAATTGCTCATATTGTACTGTGTATATACATATGTGTACATGAACACATTTACTAGGCCACCTACATGACGCTTTCAGGAGGTGCTTGGGCATGGAAACCCATGTCATGAAAATCCTGGGGCACAGTTTTTGTGATTATCTTAATGCCCGAGGAGGATTCTCTGCATTTATTTAGTCAGCAGAGTGTTAGTAACTTAGAGTTGATAAAGAAATAAACACGGACTGACTTGTTGCAATGCTAGCAGGCTATTAGAGCACCATGTTCAAATTCAGTGAGCTCTTTGTAATACCCAGTTCTTTTCACAAATGTTTTTAACCGCATGATTAGGTGCTTGATTTTATACACCTGTAGCAAAGGGACGAAAAACATCTAAATTTAGAGACTGAGAGGAATGACTTTTGTCAACATAGTGTATGTTAGTTAATGTTCTAACTATATATAAGCATGTGCCACTACATTACAATCCATGTGCAACTTAATTCTGAAAAATTTAGGACTCTGATCAAGAGTCTTTTCATTCTGTTGCATTTTTTTTTCACAATGCACCAAATCTTTCCAGTTAGTGAGAGGTCTGGACTGTAGGCAGGAAAGTTTAGCACCTGGACTCTTTATACACAAATGAGCTTTGGCCCAGAGAAGACAGCAACATTTCTGGATTATGTTCACATATAGTTTCTACTTTGCATGAGTGATCTTTAATCTGTATTTGTAGATAACATGGCAACATGTGTTTAGAGTAGTGTTTCCCAACCTTTTGGAGCCACGGCACATATTTCACCTTAGAAAAATCACACGGCACACCGCCAAACAAAAATGTCACAAAAAGCATTTTGATCATTTTTCCCGGCGCACCAGGCATAGCAGAATTGGCTCAGTTTTTCCCCAGTATACCTTTTTTGCCTTCTACTGGGTCGCAAGTTTCTCCAGGACCCAGGTCAGACTGACTACTTTTTCTTTTCAAATATTTATCTATTGTTATTCTTCTTCTTCGTTTTCTTCTGTTTTACTTGCAGTTGGCAACCCATTTAATTAGAGCAGGTAGTCTAGTGGAAGAGAATGTAATTGTTCTGCTTGTTACTCACGCCGATCACTTAGAGTATCTTTACTCTAAGTGAAAAAGGTTAAAATATCAATACTACAGTCTAAATATCAGGAGAGCAAATCAATATGCTTTCAGATGTGTGGCCTAAAGATCACAAGAATCTACATACTGATTTTCAGCCTTCAGCTTTGTCTCTTGCACACAGAGATTATTCCAGATTCTCTTATGCACTTTGTGCTGTAGATGCGAACACAAACTGAAATTGTTCCACAATTATTTGCCTTTTTTTGCAGATTGGTAAACCTTTGCACATCTTTACTTCTAAGAAACACTGCTTCTATAAGATAAGTTTTTTTACACCCAATAATGTTACTGATCTTCTGCCAAGCAAACAAAATATTCTTCATACTGTTTCTTCTTTTTCAGCCTTTTCTGTCTTTTCTTTTTGTTTGTTTGTGCAATCAAATTAAAAAATATTTTTTCATGGATTTTTCATGAAAAGATTTTTCATGAAATAGCAAAATTTCTGTTTAAACATTTGATGTGTTCTGTTGTTATAAATACAAGTTTCTAAGTTCTACCAATCACTACATTGTGTTTTGATTTACTTTTTACACAAACCCAATCTTTTTGGAATTGGGTTTATATACAAAACAGCTCTGCCTCAAAAATGGTACGCATTTCTGTGAGTGTATCTGTGATGTCAGGCATCTTGGCAGTGGGTTTGGGTCTTTATGAATTGTGCTTGTTATGTCCTATCCGACATATTAGTTTGGAATCTGTCTGTTGTTTGTAGCCTAGGTCAACAAGTGTCCTTGATATGCAATGACTTAAATGTAAAGCCACAGCCACATGAAATCCAAGGCCCAAAGTTTACCAGCAGAACTTTATATTCAGCAGAATATTATTCAATTATCTGACAGTGGTTCCAACGACTTCCCATCCTAAGTAGTAATACAGTGCTAGTTAGTCCCAGCAATATCAACCGTTAAGAAGTGAACCGATCTTAGAGACCTACATTAGTAGGTTCAGGGACTAGTGGTATAAGTTGCAGGTATGTCAGCCAAGATACCATGGTTTGGAAACCTGTGTGGGATCATTCTGTCTTTCTTTCCTCTCTTACAGATTTGTGTTGTTTTTTTTTTACACACTTTTTACTTTCTTGTTAAGTTTAGGCCCCTAAGACTGATTAGAATTAACTACTGAAATATCCTGGGTAAGGTATGAGGTTTAAAAACTGCTTCGTTAGATCCATAAAACAATCTTATTTTGGGGTAAAATATACCTATTCTCAAGAGTAATCACAATCACTGATAAATTAGGAATTGGAAGTACCTGGCCTGTCTCACTAAAGCCATAAAACGGTGTATCATGGCAGAGAAAATGGAAGGAAATGGGCCACACCAGTATTTTTTGACAAAATGGTATTACCTCAATGAGAATGGGCTGGTGGTTCTAATATTGTGGCTGATTCAAAAATATTGGCACTTCACTTCAAGACATCGCTCCAGTGTTATAGCTTGAGAATCGATGTTATAGCTGAAACTACTTTGTAGTTTTTGAAAACCGTGATCATATCCTCCTAAGGCTATTTCTACTATATACACTCAACAAAAATATAAACACAACACTTTTGTTTTGCTCATTTTTCATGAACTGAACTTAAAGATCTGAAACATTTTCTACATACAAAAAGGACCCATTACTATCAAATATTGTTCACAAATCTGTCTAAATCTGTGTTAGTGAGAACTTCTCGTTGGCCGAGATAATCATCCCACCTCACAGGTGTGGCATGTCAAGGTGCTGATTAGAAAGCATGAATATTGCACAGGTGCACCTTAGACTGCCCACAATAAAAGGCCACTCTGAAATATGCAGTTTGATCACACAATACAATGCTACAGATGTCGCAGCTTTTGAGGGAGCGTGCAGTTGGCATGCTGACTGCAGGATTGTCTACCAGAGCTGTTGCCTGTGAAATGAATGTTAATTTCTCTGCCATAAGCTGTGTTCAAAGGCGTTTCAGAGAATTTGGCAGTACATCCAACCGGCCTCACAATTGCAGACCACATGTAACCACACCAGCCCAGGATCTCCACATCCAGCATGTTCACCTCCAGAATGGTCGACCAGGTGGAGACCAGCCACCCGGACAGCTGCAGCAACAATCGGTTTGCATAACCAAAGAATTTCTGCAAAAACTGTCAGAAACCGTCTCAGGGAAGCTCATCTGCATGCTCGTTGTCCTCATCGGGGTCTGGACCTGACTGCAGTTTGTCATTGTGACCAACTTGAGTGGGCAAATGCTCACATTCGATGGCGTCTGGGACGTTGGAGAGGTGTTCTGTTGACAGATGTTTTTACTGTTCAGGGCAGATGGCAGACAGCTTGTGTTGCATCGTGTGGGTGAGCGGTTTGCTGACGTCAACATTGTGGATTGACTGGCCCATGGTGGCAGTGGGGTTATGGACAGTGAACACGAGTGCATTTTATTGTTGATATTTTGAATGCACAGAGATACCGTGTTGAGATCCTGATGACCATTGTTGTGCCATTTATCCATGGCCATAACCTCCTTTTACAGCATGATAATGCACGGCCCCATATTGCAAGGTTCTGTACACAATTCCTTGGAAGCTGAAATCATCCCAGTTCTGGCATGGCCCGCATACTCACCAGACATGTCACCCATTGAGCATGTTTGGGATGCTCAGCTCGGTGTATATGACAGCGTGTTCCAGTTCCTGCCAATATTCAGCAACTTTGCACAAGTATTGAAGAGCAGTGGACCAACATTCCACAGCCCTCAATCAACAACCTGATCAACTCTATGCCCATTGCACACCATTTGCCTCACACAGTGCAACACATCTAATGGAGATGTGTTGCACTGTGTGAGGCAAATGGTGGCCACATCAGATACTGACTGGTTTTATACATCTGTAGCATTGTGCTGTGTGATCAGACTGCATATTTCAGAGTGGCCTTTTATTGTGGAAAGTCTAAGCCACACCTGTGCAATAGACATGCTGTCTAATCAGCACCTTGACATGGTGGTGGGATGGATTATCTCAGCAAATGAGAGGTTCTCATTAACACAGATTTAACCAGATTTGTGAACAATATTTGATAGTAATGGCTCCTTTGTGTATGTAGAAAATGTTTCAGATCTTTAAGTTCATCTCATGAAAAATGGGAGCAAAAACAAAAGTGTTGCGTTTATATTTTTGTTCAGTGTATTATATATGATAAAGGAAATTAACAATTGTTTAAAATCCTACAAGAAATCAGCTGGGTTAGAAATGCCAAATGTCAAGAATTTTTTCTTCAGTCTTCTCAATTAAATCGCAAGTGCTAAAAATGTATTTTTACTTGAAGCCTTAAAAATAGCCTAAAATAAAATATGACTCTTTTAGAGTCTGCTTGTTCAAAAATAAGAGCATTCTAAAAAAAAAAAATCCCAAATGCTTTACCATGTGCTTCCTTTTCTTTCCAGGATTGCAAGATGTCCTGCCAGAGTTTCTGCGTGGGCGTTTTGTGGAGGCAGCCCTCAGCTACGTGGCATGCAACTCGGAGGGCGAGTTGCTCTGTCGCAACAATGACTGCTGGTGCCGGTGCTCTCCTCGCTTCCCAGAATGCAACTGTCCTTTTGCTGACATCAAGGTCATGGAGGAGAACCTGGAAAAGAGCAAAGAGGCGTGGAACTACTTCAACCAAGAGTTCATGGAATCAGGTATGGGCTCATGTTTCTAAGCAAGCTGTTGAGCTGCAGTTGAGCTATAAAGAGGTTGCGCTGAAGAATGCTTTGGTTTCGTTTCTGAACTGCTTTGGAAGAAAAATGCTTCACTTAACATCTGAATGCGTATAAAAAGTTTGTATGGCGATTCAAAAGCCTGCTGATAACTAATGCAAGATGTATTTTGGTGGTAAGTCTATGGTGTGGTGTTTTGATTTTGATTCTCAGATGCTATATGTCTTGTCACTGTTGTCATTGTGATGAAATCTGTAACACTTATGGGAACAACTTTAACATCCATCGAAAAATATGTTCCACTTGACTTGGATCTTTGAGGTTCAGGTTTTTTTTTTTCTTCCAGCAGATATGTATGTAACACATTCAACACACAGCTAGTGTGAGCCACTTACAGTCCAGAAGACAATTATCCTTCTATGCATTTAGTAAATCTAAAATAATATTTGAATATTTATAGACCACACCAGTCTGCTTTAGCACACAGTGTTGGAACCACAATCTTACACTGTCCAAAAAAACTAAAACATATTTTCTGTTCATATTTCAGCATAATTAGCATTACACTTGAGAATCAAAAAGACTCACAGTATGTCTATTTAATGCTTGCTTGGAGCTGCAATGAAATAGTTGGATAACCAGCAAGAGTGCAGTGCACTCAGCACTAGCAGCAATTTAATTTCAGAAAGAAGCTTGAAGAAATGTTGTTCAACAAATGAGTTGATACTGAATTGTTCTGCTCTTTAAACCTCTTAGATACAAAACAAATATTCAATGAATTACAAATCCTTAGAGTATTTGTGGTTTTTATGCAGATTCGTTTTGTTTAGTTTTGACATTACTTAGCAACATTTTCCACACAGCTATAATAACACTGAAAATCTTATTTTCTGGCCTTGCATTGAGGTAGGCTGTACAGAAAGGATGAGCTGTGGATAGCTGGACAGGGAGCGTGTTGCACAAGTTTGTTTGGTTCCAGTACCAGATGTAGATGCAGCAGGTGGGGTGGTGATGATTTATTCCTCCAAGCTGGAAGCAGTTTATGCTCAGTAACACTCTGGTTATACAGTGTGTACCTGTGAAGTGTTGCTATGATTATGTTCATAATTAGTCAGTTTGCAAGTTTCTGACAGACCAAAACAATAGGTTGGTACTCGGTTCACAGCTCAGTTAATGCAAACTTCATTAACAGCCTAATATACTCACTAAACACTTAAGTATGTACTTCTTGTTAGTAAGAGTTTGGATCCCCTGTATCTTCTGAATTGCCTTAATTCTTTGTTGTATAGATTCAACAAGGGGGATTTTGGTCAGTTTGGTTCATTGGTCTGAGATCTGGTGACTGTGTGGTCATTTGAGTGGAGTGAACTGACTGAAGTGGCACCATCTGCTCCAAGGTTTAACATGTTGTATGCTCAGAGATGCTCTTCTGATAAGCAGAGATGTTGTTTTCTGGCAACCACTTGATTGTAGAAAGCGGTCATTTGAATGTTTGCCTTTATTTCAGATCAAAGCAGTCTGGCCACTCTACTCTGACCTCTGACATTATCCATCTAAACCTTAAAGTGACTTTGTAGTTTTACTTTTCAGTGACCAAGAATTAGTACCTAACATCATTAGACGAGTGATTTTAATACTGTGGCTGGTCAGGATATAGTAGGAAAGAATGAAAAGTATGTATACAAGTAATGATACTTTTATTGCGAATACAGCAAAGTATAATTAAAAGTAGGCTGTTCTGTGTAACATCTAGAAAACCGCTGTTCTTTGTAAATAATTTAAAAAGTTAGAAAACATTGCTACATTTTTTAATTATTTCAATTTAGATAGTATTGTGTTAGTAATATTGTTAGCAAGCTAAAGTTAGCTAGATTTACATTTATTTGCAGCATTAATTGATCCAAGTAGATCAGCAGAATGCAGGCAGAGACATTGTTAAAGTTTGAATGCGCTAGCTTACATTATCCACTCAAATCAGTATTTTGCTAGCAGCAATGCAAGCTAAGGCAAGCAGCATTAGCTTACACTAATGCTAATGCTGTAATGTGGATCCTCAAAGATAGAGCAATGTTCCCGAGCCTTAAATCTAAAGCCAGTGCAGAAGTACCTTAAATTTCAAATTGGTGGCAATGACCAGCGGCGGCGGGGACACTCCTCTGTATACTTAAAGAAGGTGTATTTAAGTTTTTGAGCAATTTTTGATTTATGGCCTCAGTAATCACTTTCCTAATGGGTTTATGGTTGCAGTTTGCTCATACCGTATTTTAACTTTTGATTGAATGAGGATACTTTGGAACCACAGACTATAAGCACTGTCATTACTGAGGTTTACACGATTTATATAGAAAATATGCATCTGGGCACAGGTGAGGAAAGTATGTAGTTATTAAAAAAGTTAAATGTTGTCTCAATCTATGTGCAAATGATAGGCACACAATACATTTGATGTTACTTTGTAGAATTTAGTATTTAAGCCGATGCTGTATAAACATAATGTAGTACAATCATAGTCCAGATTAAAAATTTGATTTACTGCCAATAAAGGTTTTTGAAACTTGAAAATTTTCAAAAACAACAAACAAAAAATAAAAACACAGAAGCTACAGAATACATGAAAAGCTTGTTCGTCACTGCCAAAATTTCTTGCCAAAGCCATGGTTTCTGACCAATTTACAGGAAAGTGAAGGTTATACTTGAGCATGCTGAGAAACAATGAGAGAGCCTCAATCAGGTTAACAATCTCACTCTTGTTGTTTTCCAGCAAGCCGACCTATTCGTCATAGAAAGCAAGACACAGGTGTGTCATATAATGATGGCAATGATGCAGAATAACTCGGACATCATTTCCTAAACTGGATAAAGCATTGTTTTTTTTTTCTCCTTTGCTACATCTCAACACATCACCAGCTCACTTCTTAATGACTTGGAATATGTAGGCAGAATTTAATTGGAGATGGGTTTCTGGCAGTTTTTTTGTGAGCATCTTGAGTTTCCTCACAGAGATTAGCAGATTGTGTGTGTGTGTGCTGACATATAGGTTGAAATTGCTCTTTAAGTGACATTATGTTGCTAAACAGCATTTTTGTGCATTCACTTAGGCTCATTTTGACAGCACCTGACTTTGCAAGGTTTCTTTTACTTCCTTTTGCTGCGTGTTAAGTCTTTATAAAGAGGCGCTGACAAGGAGCACAGACAGGAGGAGGATGTGTAATTGCATGGCTTTTCTTGTTCTGCTGACTTTATGGGTTTTGTCAGGAGCTTAACTTTGTGTTGTTTGTCATAGAATATGAGGCCCTTAGTACATCTGCAGCCCTGTGTGTTTGAGTAATGAGCTAAGAAAATATCCGGAAAGGCTCCCCAGTTTGTAACACACCAACAAAGGGCAGACCAAAGCACAGGCAGGCATAGATTGCTCAGCCACAGGCATGACTGCATTCAGGGGATCATCAAAGTTTTATCTAATTTTAGGGAACACTCACAATCCAATTTCACGTTCACACACTACCAGTCACCTAGCATGAGGCGAGTTGGGATGAAAAATGAATGCAGAAAAAAGAGAGGAGGCTAATCTACATGACAAATATTGTTTGACTTTCAGAGCTTTAAGAGCAGGTGTTAGTATTCATTGTCTCTCCCTCTTTCTCTCTTGCTAGTTTTTCAGCAACTTTTCACTCGAACACGAACACACACACACACACACACACACACACACACACACACACACACAC